GGGGGGTGGAAGGGGAGGGGGGGGGTTACTCAATTCGGCCTGTTGCCAACGCTTGTCGATCTTACTCTGACATCAATTTCGAATTTTAACAGAAAGGACATTCTAGCTTGTTGATTTGCTAATTTATTGAGTTAGATTGGGCGTGTTTTTATCGTGTATATTTATGCTGCTCTAATGTGCATATATATTTGAAATCAGAATATATTGTATGTATATAAACCTAATGTTCTTGATTTTATACCTCAAAAAATAAGAGATGTAAAATAATATATACCAGATATATAGATCTAGAGTCCTGCCTTCAATCGCTCCAATATCACCTTTACCCCCTGCTGAGTAGACTGTATGACTTGCTCAACAGACACTACGGCATGGATGCTTCCAATACTCGCACCCCTAATAAAGTTATTAACATAAAAGATCCAAGACATATACAACATAGAATTGGGATACTCACGCCCATACTGTTCTCCGTTGATGTTCGCCAGCCTCTTTAGCCTCATTGTATCGTCGGATGATTTCCTCGTCACTGACCCCAACCCGAGAATCCTCGTAACTAACACCGATGATAGCTCTACCATCATACTGCCTCGGAAAGACATCGGTTGACTGGAATACATCATGTCGAATGGACTTGACAGTCGAGACTCCACCATCACTCCCCAATACAATGGTCCGTTTAATCGCAGACGGCGCAGCGCATTCCGAGGTTGCAACGAACTGGACTCAATTAGCAAGGACGCATGCCGAAGAGAAGAAGAAGAAGAAGAAGAAGAAGAAGAAGAAGAAGCGAGATTTACCCTTGTGCCCATAACAATCCCATCGGCACCTAAATTTGTCAATTATATGCAACAACGAAGTGCGGAACAACCCACCTAGGCCAAGAGCAGCAACACAGCCTCTCCCATCCACAATGCCACCAGCTGCCAGGATAGCAGTGGTTGTATTCTGAGCCTTTGACAGAAGATCTCGCACCTCAGGCAAGAGGGATATCAAACTAGCGCCCTGGGCCCACTGATGCCCTCCTGCATCGGTTCCTTGAACCACCAGAACATCCGCTCTCTGCCGAAGTGCTTCTTCTGCAGATTTGATATTTCCTACCTGAACAAATATCTTGATATCCCAGTGAGAACCGTCCCGGACTTCCCGAACAGCTTGTATGATCGAAAGATGATCAGCGTCAGCCCGAGGGAAGGATAACCAGACTGCCGCTACACGATGTTTCTGAAGAATAGGAATGGCATTTTCAATGAAACCCTCTGGCTGGAAAGTAATGAAACCGACACCAAGCGGCAGTGGTTGACCATCGACTAAACCGAGGAGAGAGCGGGCATTCACCAACTGAGTATCCAGGCTTAGGAGCTGGGTTGATTCAGACCGGAAATCAAACCCCCCGCCAATAAACCCTGTAGATGGTTAGTCTAATATCGGCAACCAGGTCGGTGTGTTATACCGAATCCTCCAGCCTTTGTGACCGCAGTTGCTAGGCCGGCATCGGCAAATCCAAACATGGGTGCATTAGCAATGAACGGAGCGGTTGTATGAGGAAACCATTGTAGAATATTTACAGCCATTGTAAGATCGATGAGATATGAAGAGAAAAGTAAGATGCGGGGGAATATATGGCGACGGAGATGTCGGGCTAAATAAGTACCTACGTAGGCAATAGCATCTTTAATAACACGAGTCTAGTTCTAACTAATTTATAACAGAAGAAAACATTGAAATTATAATAGATCTACGTATACAGTTTAATTTAACACCTCTTTGATCAAAAACAATTTGTGGAAATAGTAGGAATACTCTTCTTGAATCATAATAGTTTAAAAAGCATCATCATACACCAATCAGTTTCCTGGTCTAGCGGTTATGATTTTCCGTTAACAAATGCGACTAGCATATGTTCCGGAAAGGTTCTGGGTTCGATTCCCAGGGAAACTATTTTTTGGTCTTTTTTCCTCCTGAGAAGAGTTTTCTTTTTGGTTGTGTGTGGATTGGGGGTGGAGATGGGCTAAGGTGGCGTTGACAAAGTGGGCCAACGGGGGTTTCTACTTTTTTGGAGAATAGAGAAAATCATTATTGGATATTGTAAGTGTTGATATAAGATAGAATGAGAACCCGGGCAATCAAATTATATTCGAGATAACCACATCTACATTTGGAGTATATAACCTTGGTCGCCTACAGTCTCGCACGGAATGCGCGCTGTAAGGGTTCGAGAGCAGTAGGACCATCGTAGATCTGCTGTTCAGTAACGCGGGTGTTGATCTAAGACCAGAGTTAGTACTGTTGTAGACCAAAAGACAAAGTGGTGAGAGGACACATACATGTTGAAGCCCTAATTGATCAACTCGCTCCACTCCAAGCAGTCGCATACATGTCTTGATTTCGTCGTCCAGGACTACCACAGAGTTAGAAATAGAAATCGATCAAATATCCAGTCAACTTACTCTGCAATGTTCGACGAACACCGTCGACTCCACCCGCCGCTAAGCCCCACAAAGCCGGGCGTCCGAGGCCAACTGCCTTCGCGCCTAGGCAAAGAGCCTTGACGGCATCTGTGCCTCGACGAATACCTCCATCCACATACACCTCGATCTTGTCGAAGACCTCAGGGCAGTATTTTCGAATCTCTAAGAGAGTGTGAACTGCCGGAGGGGCAGTGTCCATGGCGCGTCCTCCGTGATTGGAGAGAATGATACCCTTAACTTGAGGTGCGTGGAGCGAGGCAAGGTATGCATCTTCGTGAGTCTGCAGACCCTTCAAGACAATAGGCAGATCCGTCTGAGTAGCAAGCCAAGCCAAAGTATCCGTCCATGTCAAGGAAGGATCGGTGCCTGCGAACAATTGCTGGCCGACACCTCCAGATCCTTGGGTTGGGTTGGGAGTGTCGTCTGACGAGCGCTCGGCGGCTTTCACACCACTGGGGACGGCAGCGGTGCGTCCAGTCATGCCGGTTCGCTCATCATCTTCTCGTTTTCCTGGAACCGGGGCGTCGAGGGTAAGAACAATGAACTTGATTGCCTTGAGCTTCTGGATGCGTGCAAGCATCGTCTCACTCTTTTTGCGGTCAATCTGAACATAAAGTTGCCAGCCAAAGATTTGATCCGGAGCAGCGTCTTTGACGATCTGCTCTGGTGTCATGGAAGCGTTATTAGAGATGATTTGCATGGCTCCAAAGCTACGGCATGCTTCTGCGATACCGGCCTCACCGGATGGGTGACCTAGACGGGCCATCGCCGCAGGAGCCACGTAGATAGGCGTTTTCAGTTTATGGCCGAGGACCGTTGTGTCCAGCTCACACTTTGTGCAATCCACAAAGACTCTAGGTCGTAAGAGAATGGACCGGTAAACCTCATTATTGAAGTTTTTGCTGAATTGGTCGTCGGATGCGGAGTAATAGTACGCCCAAGCTTTCTTGCTCACTTGCTTAGTAGCTACCTCCTCAATCTCGTTTAAATTGAGAAGATTCTCCATAGGCGGTGGCCCCTCAATCTCTTCTTGAGGTTCAGAGGACGCCTGCTCCTTTGGTAATGTGCTGACATCGATTGTTCCCAAGAATGCCTCGGGCTTAAGCTCCTCCTCTAATATACCTGGTGGGTGAATAGGATCATACTCCTCCGTGGCATCCTGGCCCGCGAGTTTCAAAATGATCTTTGCACCGCCAGGGTGACTGCTCAGGAAATCAGTGACCTATATAATAGTTAGACATGGCCAGGGAATGTGTAATACACAAGGGGGATTTTATCGCATGAAACCATACATCGTAGACCTTGCCGTATAGAACCACCCAACAACTCTCAGGAGTGTTGTGCTTTGCGACTGTTTCTTCAGTTAGTCGAAATATCCCGCGTGGGGGTCAGACACCAATGCGGAGAACTAATACCTTCTGTCGCATCGAATACCTTGGCCATTCTCAATCTCAATCACGTAAGAATGGATTGAGTGATAGTGTGGAGATTGACACAGAGTATTTGAGAGAGAGAGAGAGAGTGTGTGTGTGTGTGAGAAAATGAGAAGGAGGAAATAAAGAAATTGGAGAAGATAGAACATGTCGGAGAACCCTGGGGAGTGTGGGGAACGTCGGTAGCCGCTTTTTCCTTGTTGGGGGATTTTTCGATTGCCGACGAAGGAATTGGAATTGACCTCACATTATTGGTGGGAAAATATTTGAATATTTTATAGAATAGTTATTTTATGTATGTACAACATACTCCGTAAAGGATAAGTCAAAGAAAGTGAAGTATTAACTATAATCACATATAGTACAATGTATACAATTCCAAGGTCAGTCCACGTGAGCTGTCACCCGCTCTTCTTCCCCTCGACTGCGGAACCCAACTTCCTTGAAATTGACAAGTTCCAATAACATTCCATTTATTTCACTTCGAATACATTCTCACCCTTGACCTCTTCACATTTGGAAATTTCGCGACCATGTTTGAGGTGTGTTTATATAAAATCTCCCGTTTCTATCTCGTCTACCTCTACCCTATATTCTTCATCTCTGTCCTACCTCACCATGTAGTCTGACTTTCTCAGCGTCGTGCAGCGGATCGTTATCGCCTTCGAATGCACCGAGCCCGCTCGGCAGTGCTGACCTCAGATGAGATGGTTGAGGTGCGCGCGGCCCAGCGCACCTTTGAGGGGGCCTATGTCCGAACCGCTCTTTCTCAGTTCTCCTTCGCCCTCGTCGTGCTCAAGATTTTCACCGCCGAGTTCTACAGTATTGGGGCTCTGTTCGCGATATATGGCACGGGTGTTCTCATCATCGGACTTTTCCGCCGCTCGCAGGGAAACAGACAATTCTTTTCTGAAGTAGGGGAGGATGGGATCCATCGGCACAAATTCCGTACTAGTGGAAATGCAGTCTTGGTCTTGACAGCACTGAGTATTGCGGCATACGCATGCTTGATTGGCTTGACCTTGAACTTGAGCAACTGATAAGGAACATTCTGCGTGGATGGTTGCACGCCATCCATCCATACACCGTATCTAATATCCCTGGAGGCTATCTTCTAGGCATGCTATCTGTGGTACCCCCCTGCGTTACCGCCAAGCGCCAAGGATTCCGCACCTAACCACGGAATATGGGTTACCATTTTCGGGGCTTACGGTAGCGGAGATCAGCGTGCAGCAACAGACGCCTGCAGTTGGTCGGAGATCAATCTGTTGTGTTGAGGACCGAAAGTCGCCAAGGAAGCCGAGTATGGATCAGCCCGAGCGGTGAGACTCAGGTCACACAAGGTGTTCTAATGATTATTGATGTTTGATCCACTGGAGGCTGAGTTCGATTCCAAATATGGAGTATTATGTGTACAAAGTACCTTTTGTTGAGCCATATCTAGAATCAATTGGGGGTGCACTAACAACCCCCTACCAAGATGGGAAATCCAACGGCTACGAACATTTCGGTGGATTATGAGAATATCACAGGACATTGCACAGGGGTGAGATTGAGTATGGTTCGATGCTCCACCGTGTTTTTTTTTTCTTTTCTTTCTCTTTTTCTGTTTGAACCTGTACTCCGTACTCCGTATGTTGTATGCTTTTAGCCAAGCATTCTCTATTAGATATAGGACCATTAATGTGACATCTATGATGTCTATAAGAGCTGTTTAATCCTAGATCAGACCTAGACCTGAATATCTTGCATCTTCATATCCTAATCAATACCAATTTCTATTTTGCCTCTGTATACTCCATACACTTCCCTTGACATCATACATGGTCGATCTTTAAGCCATCGATCCACCCTATGAACTAAGTCTAACCTGCAACGTGATTTCATCATTTCGGATTTTTGACTTACTTTGTCTTTGTAAGGCGTCTTTGACGTACTTGGCACTATCAATCCTGAACTGATATTGTACCCCCCACTTGCTGGAGAAAAAGAGAACCACAAAATAAATATTTTTTTTGGCAAAAAGAACCCCCGATCAAAAAAAAAGAACCCCCCTCCCCAACCTGTTTGATTCTTTTATCCCTTGAATATTTCAAAGCTCCTTGAATATCTCAGGTGGTCGATATCAGACCCGGTGTTCCCGTTGGTTGACTCATCCAAACGTCCGTGGACACACTTTCTTTTCTCTCCCCTCACCAACTTTTTTTTTTGTCGAGTTGCTCAGGTGTGACACAAGCTCTTATCAACTCGAGACACTTTGCAAAAGCTCTGAAAAGAGCAACAATACCCTTCTTAATAAACACACACAGAGAATATCCCCCTGGGGGATGGCGCAACATTCAAGCATCGCCCGGTCGGCCATGACGTCGGCCATTTCGCCTGAGACAGGGGATCAGAGGAATAATATTAAACCCAACGGCACATCTAATGGCTCGGGATCGGGGAAAGAAGGAGCTCTTATGCCTCCGAAAACTGTCGTCAACCGAGCGCTAGGTAATGACCTGCATTCCGATTCCCACAAATCGTCACTGCCGCCCAAGGGCGGAGTCGGAATGACTTTGACAGACACTCCGGTTTCTACCGCACCTCCGTCTCCACAGATGTGAGTATTGTTTCTCTTTTTATTCCTTTTTTTTTTTTTGGCTAGAACCTTAGAATTTGTTATCTTTA